TTACAGCGGAGAAACTGGATATACCTGTGCATCCCCCGACTCTCCTTGGCTTCATCCCTCAGTCGGAGGAACCGTACAGGGAAAGCACATATCAATTCTGCAGCTGGAAGGCAGCTGTGAATCAGAGCTCGCAGTAAGTCAATTTTAGGCACAAATCCATAGAACAGTGTCGTTCCAGTGCCTGCGGAACTGCTTTATTTTTTCACCAGACCCCCAAGCTTTTTCAGTGCTGAAGATGAATAATGCTTTCGAGATGAATGGTGCTTATTGAATTGTTACTTTAAAGTCTTTATAATCCTCATTATTCATTGTATAGCCTTGGCCTTTCTTTAACATGTACCATTAAGAACCAGTGCTGACTGGAAATATATTTTAGTTATTTTTCTCTTGGGTTTTTATGTTGCCCTTAGTGTAATGGGTGCTTCACAAATGCAGATTTTTCTTCACAAGGTTCTTGAGGCAAGTTAATATTAGCATCTTCATTTTACAGATGAAGGACAGAAAGGTGGAGCAATTTAAGCAAGAACATTTCAAACATCCGCTATTTTTGGATATTTCTCTTGAGACACAAAGGCCTTACTTGAAGGACTTGCTTTGTGTAGCTGTCACGGTTTCATCTGAAGCTGGATGTGCTTTCTTTCCGCGTAGCGCATCACACAGAGCTCCAGTCAGAAAGGAAGGGCTGGTACAAGCTACGGCTCAACGCTTCACCGTGCAAAGCGATTGAAGTCATCGCTTGCCGCAGTCCCACCTTCCTTCTGTTCCCAGCCATATGTTCCCTCCCCTCCCGCCAGTGCTGGCACCTGCCTGCCTCCTTCAGCGCGCTGAACCGGGAGAGAGGAATGAGAACGTGCGATTCGTTTGTGACAGCAAGTTACGGGATAAGCTTCGTATTTGTAATAATGTATCATTATAAAGCATATTTAATTATTATTATTTTATATTTATTTATTATTACTTTAGATTACTAAAAATTCAGAATTAGCGATTTTATTTATGAATTATGCATTAGTAATTATCTATAGATATATTAATTATATATTTTATATATGTTATATACTATACATTATATATGGTCTATATTACATATATCATATTATATATCTCTATATAGTAATATATATATTTTATATATATCTTTATAATAAATATATTTGAGGACATGGTACAGTGATGGACTTGGCAGTGATAGGTTAACGGTTGGACTCGATGATCTTAAGGGTCTTTTCCAACCTTAACGACTCTATGATTCTGATTGATTAATTTACCTAATGTATAATAAGTATGAAATATTTTATGAACAGTCATTCTTAATTATATAGTTACTATTAATTGACATTATTTATAATTTATTTTAAATTATTTATAATTTATTCTAAATTACAACAACAAAGCCAGATAATGTTTTGATGACCTAGCAACCAGCAGGGGAGGCGCCCACCATGGCAGCCCCTGCCACAAACAGGCAAACGAATTTCGTTTTTAGGCGTCAGTGACGGATTAATCCCCAGCAAAACGCCGGCTCCTCAGCCCGCGCCACACGGGACACGCCCCCTCGCCCTGATTGGACAGCTGTTCCCTTGCCCCGCCCACCTGCCGGCGGGACGAGGCGGGGCTGGGCCGGGGGGGGGGGGTTGGGGGGGGGGGGGGGGGGGGGGCGGG